TCTTTACATCTTGCTCCACACCATTGAGGCTTCTCATCCCTTCCTTCCTCCCTTGCTTCTTCTCCCTGCTCTTTTTACCCCCTTGTCTCTACACCTCCCCTTTTCTTCTTCTGCATTCCCCCTTTCTGTTGTTTTCTAACATTATATCCACTTTTCACCTTATTTTTCTCTTTTTTGGTTGTTTTTTTTAAATCTTAAAGTCCTCTTTTTTTCCCCTCCTTCTCCCTTTCTTCCCCAAATAAAGTTACTTGTTCATCAAAGATGGCTTCTTCTTTATCCCAATCATCTTGTTGCGCAGTCAGTTTCTCATAGGTGCAAATCGCCATTTCTAAGAATTGAAAAAGAGTGTCAAGAGAGTCTTTCCCTTCTTGTTCTTCTTCTTTGTATTTTTTGAATTCAATTTTCAATTCATCCACAAGTTATGCCATTGTAGAAAGAAAAATTTTTTTCCAAAACAACCACCCAAGTGTTTTAGTCCTTCAAAGATAATTTCCAAAAGTCCCAAAGTCACCAAACAGTCCAAATAAGCTGTTTCTTTTAGCACTTTCTTCTTTCTTCACTTTCTTTTTCTGGGGTTACTGTTTAGTTGCAAAGTTCCAGTTAAAATGTATCTTTTAAAAGTCTTGTTAGTATTTTTAAAATTCTAGGCAATCTCCTCCTTACTTCCAAATCTTGCTCCAATTCTTTTCCTCTCCCTTCCCACTTACAGCAAAAAAAAATTTTTTTAAATGTTCAGAAATCCTTATTATCCCTTTAGCATTTAATTATCCAGTTTACCTATTGATGCCAAAGCAGGTTTTTCTGATTTCTCATATATTTCTGTTCGCTGTCAACGTTAGGAAGGAGAGTGAAAAAAAAAAGAACTTTCCATTTTACTTCCATTTGCCGCTTGTAAATCTCTGGGAACGATGTATCTTTCGCAAATTTTAAGTTCCAGGATATCTTCGTTGTTGCTTTGTCCCGGTCAGCAAAAAAACCTTTCACTTCTTCTTAACTCCTCCTGCACTTTGTTTTCCAGCTGAGCGCTTCTTTGTGGTGGCCATTTCTGACCGCCGCTCTACCGCCTTCGGAAAAGGGGGGGTTAGCCGGCTAGGGAAGAGAGGTGCGATTTCTCTCGACCCTGCCAGATCCCCCCTATCTTCACCACCTTCTACGGAGGTGGCTAGCCCTGAAGCCGAATGGCTCAGGGCAGTCCAGCGGCGAGCGCAGGCAGAAACCGCACATGATCACGGATTCCTGCCTGCCCCGAAGCGCTGCAAACCGGAACTCCAAAAATAACTACAGTGGTTTCTGAGAGCCAGTTTGGTGTAGTGGTTAAGGCACCATGCTGGGAACTAGGAGCCTGTGAGTTCTAGTTCTGTCTTATACAAAGCCAGCTGGATGACGTTAGGCCAGTCATTTTCTCTCAGCCCTAGGAAGCAGGCAATGGCAAACTATTTCTAAAAAACTCTTGCCAAGAAAACTAAAAGCACTTGTCCAGGCAGTTACCGAGTGTCAATACTGACTTGAAAGCACAAACAACAACAACAATAAAACAAACAAAACAATAGTTTCTAAGAATGTGGCTATTTTGAAGAAACAGCAGTTTCTGTGGCTATTTGGGTGGGTGTACTTTTCTTTTACACTTGCAAGAAATAGTCAGAGGTCCCTCCAATTCCATTGCTCACCGTTTTCTCCTTTGACTTGAAAATCTCATTCGCCTCCTCAAATGAACATTGTTCCTCTCTGCATTCTCTCTCCAAATTTCCTGGGAGAATCTCTTCCAAGAAAGTGTTAGCACGTTTCTGAATCCTCAGAACCTGGTTTGCCTTCTCTTTTTTCACAAATACTGTAGATAAAGAATAGGATACCACTAAGAATTCCAGTTTCTTTAATTCAGGGTGTATATATATTTATATTCACACCAAACATACTGAATACACAGAATACTGCAGGGCTAAACCAGTGGATATATTTGGTCATTTCTCCTGGGCTTAAATATGGGGGGGAGGAAGACAACCATCATTGAATATATTTAAAATCATGTGATTGAGTTTCATCTCCAAAATCCATCTCAGAACAACACTTATGAAATTAAAATAAATAACTTTGTTCTTGAAATAACTTTCAGAAACACATGGGTTTAAAAATTAACTACGGTTGTTAATACATGATTCATATTGCGACTGTTGGTAATGAATAATAGGTACCTGATAACGAATGTGAAAAGATGATGAAGCAACAGATTAAGAAAATCAAGGTTGGCCCCAAGGAAATTCTAGCCATTGTACCTCCAAAGTGAATAGTAGAATATATTGATTTGGAGACAGTCACCTACACATAGGAAACAAGACTAAACAAAATATTCCTAGAGTACTGAGACAAGAAAGAGAGAACTGGACAATAAGAATTATGTGCATATGAAAAACAAAGATGGGGACTAGCAGAGAAGGCAACAGATCTAGAAATAAAAGGAATAGAAGTCAAATTTATTTTGTGACCATTTGGATATCTCCTAAAACCAGAAATTAAATGTACTGGAATAATAACTCGGGTATTTTGCTTTTTAAGAAAGAATTAACATGTTGAGGAAGATATAAGTATCTGTTTTTATCACTGATCTGATGCACTAGCAATGGCTATATATACAATATGTCCAACATCTGAAGAATAGTAGTGCAAACAGATAAGGCCCATTTCCTTTTAATCTCATATTAAAACTGAAGTTGTAAGAGGCACCCTACAGGAACAGATTGTATTTCATTTTGTTCTGACAGCTGTTGATTATGTTTATTTCATCAAATAACAATTGGCATCCAATAACAGAAACTTTTGTCACTCAGGAAACCAGGTACATGTTAAGAGGAGGAAAACAAAGGGGGGAAAACAAGCAGTTTTAAAGGAAACAATCTCTGTTTGCAACAAATTAGAAATGTCGTGTTCTCTTACCTGATTAGGAAGGAAAAAGTACTATTTAGAACCGTTACAAAAGCTAGGAAAGAAAGTTATTGGAAATTTTATGTTGATGATTAAACTACTGCAAATATTGACATAGAAGTTCTGGTCTCAGGATACTATGGCAAAAAACACCCCAACCACCACTGTAGCCCAAACATTTTAAAATTAAAAAGACCCTAAAAGCCTTTTCCTTACTTGTGGCCTCTTTTTTTTTTTAATAATACTCATATTTTTATGGAACTTGGGGCAGGAGAGGGAGAGTCCTTTCCTATCTTTAATTCATCATTCCACAAAAGACTTTTTGAAAGACACTTGCCCACAAAATCTTCTATTCCTCTGCTTTCAAATGGAATGTTTTCTGGATATCTGCACTTGAGTTGTAGTTATTCATTTATTCTGATAATATTTTGCTTTTAGCACATGCAAATACCTTGAATTAAAAATCTTCCTCAACAAGTTCTAGCCTGGAATATCTTAGAGATTTGGGAGACGGGAAACATCCAATGTCACAAACATGGAGTCAATCTAAAATATTTAAAATAAGATGGAGCAAGAATTTTTACTCCTAAAACATATAAGTTAAATATAATCTTCCCAAATATTCAAATATCATATGTTTAGTTGGTCATTGACATGAAGAGAACCAAACAAGATGGAAAATCACTTTGACACAGGAGCCTATTCAAAGTGATGCAGGGGTTTGGCAGAAGGTGGATCTGAATCCTAACAAGGCTCTGAGCAGGACAACCTGCCACACGAAGAGCTACAATATTGTGATAGCAGTGGTGCCCCATGCACCATTAAGGTGATTAGATTAAAATATTGAGTTTTAACACATGGCCTTTTGCCTTTCTTCTGAGAAACAGATTTTGATGTGATTTTATATCATGGAAGGCAATTTATTGTTCAGGAAAGGAAACAGGAAAGCATATGGAAAGTATATATGTATACTCCATATTAATATAGAAAACAAATAAGAGCAACTGTTCTAAAGGAACATGGAGTTATGTCAAATAGGCATGGGTTTCACCCCACAAACTCTCTATAGTAGTGACTGTTAAGGATAACACACAACAAAAAGAGAACTCCCACTAGCTTGCATTTAATTTGAGCTTGTTCTCTTCCAACCAGACCTTCACAGGCTCCAGGCACTAAGACATAGTAATAGCAGCCCCTCCACACAACTCAAGATAATGATTTATGCTTTGATATCATCAGCATACTAATGATATTCTACTCTAAATTGTTCTATGACCTTCCCCAGTAGTTCCACATACTGTAAAGGGGTGTACATAAGTGCACACTCGTGCCTACCATCCCTTTCCTATTGACCCCATTTATACATACCTATTCCCTATATTCTTACTCATGTTTATACTTATTCCTATTATCTTGTCAGCGATTGATAAATAAAATAAATGAAATAAATGTTAACTATTAAGGTGGTGAGGACTGATTCCTGTGGTTCCTCATAAGTGAGGGGTCACTGGGCCAACCTTTTCTACAATAGATTGAAACTATTCATAAAGAATGGCGCAGAAGCACTGCAAAACTCTTCCCCAATCCCTAACCATCACAAGAGATCCAGTAATATGACTGATGGTGTTAAAGTCTGTAATAAATGAGGAGAAATATGTCTATTTCACCTCTTTTATCACCACACTGTAGACTCATTCATGGTTGAGCTGGTTTTTCATCTTTCTTCACTGATACTCCAGTCATCATCTTCAAGAAGGACTCAGTAAACTAAAGCACCAACTGCAAATGGCATCCAGAAAGAAGCTACTCATGGACAATAGAATACAGTTCCAGTTTGCATCCTGATACCTGTCTTGAGCTGAACTGTCTGTCAAACTGTTGGGAAATTCCCCAATTGTCTTCTTGAAACCAAGATTGTTGTAAAACCAGGATTGTCATAGAAAACTTTTGCTGCATTTAAACAAAGTGAATTTGTCAACATTTTTTTTTTTTACAAAGGATCTATAATAGATCCCAGATGTATCCCAGATTCTTAGTATATAAAATAGTGAGACCATTGACGAAAAGTAACACAAAGTACAGAATCACTAGTATGTTCTGTTTTTATTGATCGTTAGCATAATAATTTTATGATTTCATTTTCTGGCTGATCCAGTCAAGATATGAACCGATCTTAGTGTAGATTCCAAAATTATTAGGATCCCCACAGCCTTCTCCCCAACTCACTATTCCAAGTAGGAACCAGGTGTTCTTGAATTTTACAACCATAGGACCACCACTGTCTCCATGACAAGAATCCCGTATATCTCCTTGTATCCCTGCACAGAACATGTTATCTGTTAGAGAATTCCACATAGAATTGATACAGTCATTCCGTGATGCTACAGGGATTTCAATAAAATGGAGAACTGAGGAGAAATTCTTCTTATGATTTGTACTCTGGCTTCCCCAGCCTGTCACTATTGTTTGAATCCCTTCGGTCATCAACTGTTGATTTGCCAGGTTTTGGGTAGGCAAGCAAATCGGTATAATATACTTATTGACAACGACTGGGTGGGATAGATGTAGTATTGCAATGTCATTATCATAGGTGACTGAAGAGTAATTTTCATGATAGAATATCTTGTCAGCAATGATAGTTATCTCACTTTCATCTATTCGCCGTCGGTGATATTTACCTGAAAGACCAACATAAAAATTATAAAGTAGGTGAAAGAAAAGCCTGTGTGGAACAGATAATAGATTTCTGTAATCTAACCCAGCATTTTCTTCCTGTTGTGACCAAACAATGCCCCTGGGTAGTCCCAAGTCTCTTATTTGTGTTCTTCAATAGCTAGTATTGAGTGAGAGACTGACTCCATAATAGCTGATTACGATACATCAGTAACTGTCAAACTCCCACCTTTCATGCCATTAATTAATATGGACATTTGTGGTAGGAATTTCACAGTTTTAATAGAGGCTGTGTCAGCATGTCCTCTTTTATCAGTCTTTTATCTTTCACCACTGAGCTTCATTAAATAATCTCAGGTGGTAATACTGGGAGAAAAGGAGAAAATCTCCCAGTCCATTTTATTACATTGTGTGTACAGGTAGTTCTCTACTTACAACAGTTCATTTTAGTGACCGTTCAAAGTTACAACCACCCCATTCTTCATTCTTACAACTACTGCAGTATCCGCAGGGTCATGTGATCAAAATTCACATGATTGACAACTGACTCATATTTATGACGGTTGCAATGTCCGAGGGTCATGTGATCACTTTCTCCGATCTTCTGACAAGCAAAGTCAATGGGGAAGCCAGATTCACTGAACAACCATGTCACTCACTTAACAACTGTAGTGATTCACTTAACAACTGTGGCAAGAAAGGTCATAAAATGGGGCAACATTCACTTGACTACTGTCTCACTTATCAATGGAAATTTTGGCACCACTGTGGTCGTAAGTCAAGTACTATCTGAAAATTTTATGTCAGTATATGTGCCCATCTTATTTGCTGTGTAAGTCCTAAAACTCTCAAATATTCCTTTCCTCAAATTGGAAATAGTCCAACTTTTTTATTATTTCTCTTGCCTTTTCTGGGCTTTTCAAGAATTACTGAGTAACACATAGAAAAAAAAAACTCATATTTGTTACAGGTCCCGATTATAATGCAATCCAATCACAATCAAAATTAACAAATAAAAACTAGCAATAATTAGATACGTGGAAGAAATAAATTCAACATGCAGCATTATATAACCACAGTCACAGTAAAAATAATTCACAAAACTGTAAAACTCTAACTCTATAAATCTAATAAAATTGTAGTTTTCTTTTTAATGAAAAAATGAACTTGCCACACAGCTAACACAGCAGATCCTTCCAGACCCCAGGTATCTTTTGTGCTTTGTATACAACTATCTATGGAAATACTTTTGTTTCTGTAGAATGTGCCAACAAATTGTGAATGGAATAGTGAAGTAGGCATGGTAGTTATGCTTTTGGTTTAATTACTTTTCTTTATATACTGGGCATGGCTAGTCTAGTGAAGAAAAGGACCAGAGGAGACATGATAGCGGTGTTCTGATATTTGAGAGGTTGCTACAGAGGGGTCAAGCTATTTTCCAAGGAACCTGAAGGCCAGATAAGGAATAATGCATGGAAACAGATCAAGGAGAGATTCAACCTAGAAATAAGGAGAAATTTTCTGACAGTGAGAACAATCAACCAATGGAACAGCTTGCCTTCGGAAGTGTGGGAGCTTCATCACTGGAGACTTTCAAGAGGAGATTGGATTGCCATTTGTTGAGGATGGTGTAGGATCTGCTTGGGAGTGGGTGGGGCTGGACTAGATGACCTACAAAGTCCCTTCTAGCTCTATTAATCTATCTATATCTATTTTCACATGTTCCATCAAGCTAGCCAATATAAACCTAAGTTCATGATCAACAATGATCAGTTTAGACCCCTTCAACTTATAGGTAAAATTAAGAGTTTTCTAAAATTATTGTTCCAATGTATATCAATGTTTCATTATATTTTTTTAATTTAAATTTCAAAAACTATTATAATTAACAGTTGAGCCCAAAATTTCCATTGCTAAGTGAGGAAGTAAAGTGAGTTGTGTTTCATTTTACATGCAGTCATTCAGTGAATCAGGCTTTTCTCCATTGACTTTGCTTGTCAGAAACTGGCTGGGAAGGTTACAAATGATGATCACATGATCCCAGGATAGGGCAACAGGCATACATACATGTTAGTTGCCAAACACATGAATTATTGGGTCACTGCAATAATAATCATAAGTGTGATAACTGGTCATAAGTGTTGTTTTTTTCAGTGTTGTAACTTTGAATGGTCACTAAACGAATGGTTGTAATTTAAGAACTACCTGTAAATCCTTTGGTCTTGCTCTTAGAAAATTTTTTTTCCCATAAGCTTGTTTCCAACTCTTGTAAACAGACACTTCTGTGCCACTAGTTCCTTGCTTCTAATTTTTATACAATTCTTTTTATTTTCATTGTTTTTGTATTTATTTTTTATATTCTGAAAGCCACCCAGAGTCACTTTATTAGTGAAATGGACATTGTATAAATTTAATAAACAAATGATTGAAGAAACAATTATGTCCCTTGAAACTCAGATCTCAGACCCAAGGATCAAGAGGTAGCGATGTAATAGGCTATGTACTTAGGAGCTTAGAGAGAATAGCCTATTTAGGAGCCGGTTGGTTCTCCCAACAGATCAAATCTGGTTGACGAGACTAGGTGCCTCCAGCATTTAAGCCTCTACTTGAAAGCAGGATGATGATTAATAGAACAAATTTTGTGTTTTGGGAAACCTTGACCTCATATCTTCTTATCTTTGAATACGTCTACTAGTAAGATACTGTTGTTTTTCTTAAATTTGAATGACACTAGAATCTCAGCTCTGATGTCAATTGTAAATGCTTGTGCCTTGCCTTGGATTGGTATTGTCAGTTACCTTGCCTCACAGGCAAGATTTAACAATTATAGTATCTGGTTATTAAGAGTTATTTCTGGAAAGATCTGTTTATACTTAGAGTCTTTTTAGAAGAATGTTATTTTAGTTTGGCACTCAGTATAATTCTTGCTAACTTGCTTCTAATGATGAATGTATCTATCAGAATTAGGAATTCAGCAATCTCTGCAAAAATATGTATTATACCAATGTTTCTCAACCTCAACAACTTTAAAATGGAATTGACATGTAAACATTTTAAGTTGCTGAGGTTGAGAAACACCACATTATATTGGATAAAAGACTTATTGACACGAGTCATATTAAAAAAGAATACAGGATTTTCCTTACCAAAGGTCAGTTTGATTCTTGGTTCTTGAAATACACAATGTGCAGCTGTCAATACCCAAGCAGGATGAATGAGAACGCCTCCACATTTAAATTCTCCTGCACTATTGCCCAGCATAACCTGCAGTGGAAAGGAGGAAGAGGCTGTTAAATCTCTTTCATTGCCCATGTTGTTCTGTATACTGCTCTGCTTGTGATCATAAATTCTGAATTTACCAAATTGTTAGGTCAAATGCAATAGCCCTTGATGTTTTGCTGATCAGGATATTCTGAATAGAAAACATTGGGACAAGTACTGCATAAATTTAAATTTCTATTTCTTCTGATGTACTTCTCTGCTGTACTTCAATTGCTATTGAAGTTGTCACTTGTATGCTCAGCAAACCGTTGGGATATATTATATTACAGTAACTCCAAATGGAATTATTAATTTGGTGGCAGCTCAGGCTGAAATCTTGTAATCTGCTCTGAAAATTCCTTACTGTCTTGAAATTATTCTAAAATGGAGTTGCAGTTGAGGATTCAGAGTACTGTCAGTCCTGATTTTAAATTACAATTGCTTCTGCATTGCCCAGTTTATGTCCTTTTTTTAAAATGCAGTGACTGTATCTCCCAGAATAAGAGTCCAGAGAGTTCCATTCTTAGACATCTGTGTGCTTGGGTGAAGCTGGTATGTTCTTCAACAACATAATATGAAAAGCCAGGTCTCCTTGTTATAGTAACTAGAATCCATTATAAACTGCACCAGCTCCAAATTCTCTTTTTTGTAGACTTCAGCCTTCAACAATCCCTCTGACCATGGTTGCTGAAAGGTTACAGCATAGCTTTCTACCAAAAACTCTATTGTTAGTCCTAACATAGGAATATCACAATTTAAATCCCTCCAAAACTCAACCCTACTCATTCTTCCTCTTTGTAGCCCTTAAATCATTTTTCAATTTTTAAGTATTTACCTTAGATGCCTAAAAGTTGTCCAGTCTGATATATTCAAAACCTTTTGCTTTGGCATGACAGCATGTGTCAAGAAAATATAACAAACAGAATATGATGTTGTAAACATTGAAATAAAAATCCTAAGTTGCATTAACAGAGGGATACAGTCAAGATCAAGGGAAGTACTAATACCACTCTATAAAGCCTTAGTAAGACCACACTTAGAGTACTGCATCCAGTTTTGGTCACCACATTATAAAAAAGATGTTGAGACTCTAGAAAAAGTACAGAGAAGAGCAACCAGGATGATTAGGGGACTGGAGGCTAAAACATACAATGAACGGTTGCAGGAACTGGGCTTGGCTAGTCTAGAGAAGGACCAGGGGAGACATGATAGCGGTCTTCCAATATTTGAGAGGCTGCCACAGAGAGGAAGGGGTCAAGCTATTTTCTAAAGCTCCTGTAGGCCAGACAAAGAATAATGGATGGAAACTGAACAAGGAGAGATTTAACCTGGAAATAAGGAGAAACTTTCTGACAGTGAGAACAATCAACCAATGGAACAGCTTGCCCTCAGAAGCCGTGGAAGCGCATCATTTGAGACTTTCAAGAAGAGGTTGGACTGCCATTTGTCAGAAATGGTGCAGGGTCTCCCGCTTGAGTGTGGGGGTTTGGACTAGATGACCTAAAAGATCGCTTCCAACTCTGATGATCTGTACCTGTAAAAAGGATTTACAGGCCAACACATGGGATAAAACAGATGCTCACTTCACAGAATGACCAAAGCTATTACAAAATGAAGATTTCATCACTACATACTTGCCAAGGGCTATGTCCTCTTTTTCCAGGATTACCCCCAATTATTTTTGCAACCTTTAATTTGGATTCCACAACTCTCCCACAGGAATACTGCACTGCAAAAAAGGAAGGAAAATAAAGTTTGAAATACTACTATGATCCTTTAACAATTATCCCAATATTCAACCAAAATGCTAGAGATAGTTTGTATTTTGCCTGTTTTGAAAGGTTCTGTAATACGTATAAGCTGCCCTCCCAACTTACTCAAATAGTGGGAAATGTTCCCCCAATTATTTTGTCTTTTATAAGGAAAGTTAACTATTTTTATACATATATGATTGTGAGATTGTGTTTCATTTATTTGTGCTATAAATGTTCAGCAATACGTTAATATTTTCATGAATAGATCAATCCAAGTTTGTCTAAAAACCTTTTATAGAACTTTTGTGGAATACATGTAAAAACACATATACACAACCTTTTTCTATTTCTTGTAGTACCAACGACATTCAGTGACCGATACATATATTAAATTCAAAGACAATATTTAAAGAGAATAATCAATGGACATCATGCTAAAAATGAAATGGCATAATTTTTATGTACTACTACTATAAAGTACAGATCAGGCTAAATCTCTGAATCTGATCTCTTGCATAATTTACTTGTTATTAAACTCTTAGAAATATGAAATAAGATGTTCACAAAGCCTTCTGTAATAAGATTTATTGAAAAGTGTTAGGTAGAGAAGTCTGGAACTGGATGGTTTTTACTTCAGAACTCTCTCTTTATCTCTGAGTTTGCTAGGGTACAGATTTCCTAAATCTCCTGCTTACCCACTAAATAGGAACTGCTAAAATCCAGGGATGGAGTTAAATGTAAGATGTTTTGAGACAGCAATATTTGGCAAACCATTATTCATTTCTCAGATTCCAAGAACAATAACAATACTTCCCTCTACAAAAAAAATATATGCCGGGTTATTACAAGTGGAAACCTCTATTTTATTTTTAACTTAGGATTCAAAAATGTTTTCCTGTCCCAAGAATGAAATGGCATGTTACAGAATTCTGCCACCTTATTTTGCATAATTCAATGAGTAATGCTTGTCCCTCAGTAAAACGAACAGCAATATTTCTCTAGTGTATTGATTAATATTCTCATGGTTATTTTGTTCTAAACAATAAAAGAATGGTGTTAAGATTTCTGCAAAATCTAACACACTTTAAATGATGTTTACATAAATGTAAGTTTGCCTGGTCATCTCCTTACCTGAAGGTTCACAAGAAGTATGATTATCCATCAGGTGATAGTCCAAAGCACAGCTGCAGTAGCGGTATTGCTCATTGTTCTTTTCAAACTCATGGCAGAAATGTTCACAGCCACCATTGTCAAAGGAGCAGTTAGTAAAGAAGACCTCTGCACAGCAAAATATAGTGGAATGAGATGTTCTTTTGAAGGAAAATGCAGTATGGCAGGCAAACTCTGCCCACATACCGGGAGTTTGATCCTGACCCACCCAAGTTTGACTCAGTCTTTTCTATATCCAAGGTTGGTAAAATGGGGACCAGATTCTTAGGGGCAATATACTAACTCTGTAAACCCACTCTTACAGAAAGGGCTGTAAAGCATGGTGAAGTGGTATATAAGTCTAAGTGCTATTGCTATTGCTATGTGCCAAAATGAAATTTGCAAAATCATATGTCTAGCAAATCACAATCTTGTGACCTAGACACTGTAACTGGGGATAAAGGTGACAATTGTAAGTATAAGTCCGTAAAGTACAAATCCTTTTTCCAAATCATCATAACTATGAACCATTGTTAAATGAATGGTTGTAAATTAAGGGCTACCTATATTACCATCCATATATTTACGGTTAAAAATTAATCTTGCTGAATGGAAGTTGGTAGCAAAAGCTGCATTGGAAATGCCATCCCATGACATCATATCAGTGATAATAATCTGGGTATCAAACATAGTGTTACCATTTTGACAAAATCGTCCCTCCCAGCCTTTGTTACATATGCAGTCAAATCGCCCAATGCCATCCTGACAGAATCCATTCAAACATGGGTTGGAAACACACATATCTCCATCTAAAAAAAAAAAGAATCAGGAAATCCAGATCATACAGTATTACTTTACAGTATTACTTAACATTTGTTGTATTTCTATTCATGTTTACTCCAAGAGCTCAAATGGAAGTGTTCTTTCATTTTATCTCCACATCAATAACCCTGTAACTTGGCTGAGAAGTAGTGACTGGCCACAAGTCACCACGTGACTTTTTGTGACTGAGGATGGACTTGAACCTGGATCTCCCTCCTTCTTATCCAAATCCTTAGTATGTACAGGATGCAGTTCCTCTTTCTCTCAGCCACACAAATTCTTTCCTTTGTTATGATTTGCTTTTTTTGAGAAGATGGGGTTCAGAAGATATTAGGAAAAAGAGAAGCAGGAACTTGTTTGGAATTTAATCCTTTTTTCAAAGTTACAGTAAAGTACAGATATTTGTTTAAGCGGAGAGGGTTATATTCATTTCTATATTCTTCATTTGATATGTACAGAGATGAGTAGATGTCAGGCTTGTAGATGAAAAATGAATGAAGGTCACATTCCTTTAACAAAATTTATTTTAGGCTATTCCAATATTTCTATATGCTAGGACAGGAGGAATAAAATAGTTGTTGCTCTTGTTAAACCGTTAGGTACTTCTTTTTTTATAATTGTAATTTCTGAGGATGCTACAAGTAGACTTACCTTTAGCTCACCCTCCAACTTTTCTGGCACAAACCATAGAAAGTATCTATTTAAATTAACACATCATCACTTTCCAAGTGGAATCACTATTCAAGAAGAAACCTGGAGGGGAATATGGTTTGGTTTTCTCTTGCTGGGAAGCTGAATTTTAGACACTTAGCTCCTAATTTTAAGAAAGATAAATTCAGCTGATGTATGTACATCGCTAAATTGTAATGGGATGAAAAATCTTTTTTTTTTGCATTTTTCATCATATTACTTTTATTTGTATTGCTATTGCAAGACTTCTCTCTGCAGATTATTTTGTTGATTAGTGTTATTGCTTAGCACTCAAGCAATTAAAAACAGGCTTACCATATTTTGGTAGCAAAAATCTAGACAATCACTATATGTCAGCAAAGAGAGAAATCTTTAATTCTTTTCTATTCAATAGTTATCTTGATTTCTGAAACTCAGATATTATAGTCCTAACCAAAGAAGCATTTAGACTAGTTGATTGTCACATTAACAACACGAATAGCTTCCTTTTTCATTGGTGAAGAAAATTTTGTTTGCATTATTTTAGCTAATTTAGATTTTGCTTAGTGTTAGATTACTTGTGGAGTCATGAGGCTATAGCAATAAACACCCAATTAATTGAAATCTCTGCATGTTTCATTCCAAGCTAGCCAAATGGTGAGTTTGATTTATTTATTTAAGAAAGTCAAGAAATCTATATGGGCATTTAACTCAACCAATGTGAGTTGTGAATATTGTGGGTGGCTCACAATAATGGAAAAACACACACACCAATAATTCAATTAAAATAAAAAGAACCCTTAATAGGAGATCAGCAACTCACAATTATTATCTTCCTCCAGACAGATCCCCTTTATCTGTATCCTAATGCCTGAGGAAAGAGCCAGGTTTTAAAGCCTTTCTAAAGTTCAGGAAGATTGGGACCAAACATATGTCAGGGAAAAGATCATTCAGAGAAAAGACTGGATTGCATCAGAGATGGAACTCAAAGTATGTCTTGAATGAATGGGTTGGGCAGATAATATTGGGGAGAGGTAGTCCCAAAAATAATCTGGTTCTGAAAGGCTTTATAGATGATAGCCAGTATTTTGAATTACATCTGGAAGCTTATTGGGAGCCAAAGTATGCAGAGTTGTGGTGTTATAGGGAAATACCAAGGTACACTCATAACCACTTTGGTTGTGCATTCTGGACCTATTGTAATTTCTGGATTGTCTTTAAGGACAACCCCATGTAGAATGAATTGCGGTAATCCAGCCTGGAGGTGACTTTATTTATTAAATTTATATGCAGCTCATCTTGTATTCAGGCAACTTTAGGTGTCTTATAAACAAAGTAAAAGGAATAGCATAAGCATTAAATATTAAATATTAAGATAATAAATATTAACATTAAAATTAACAAAGATAACGAGGAAGGAGGCAAGATACAAACAGGAGGGAAAAATTGGCAGAGCCGGGTTTTAAAGGCCCCTTTGGAAGACCTAAAGGGTGGGTGCAGATCTTACCTCAAGGGACTCAGTGTTCCAGAGAGTGGGAACCACAGCATAAAGACTCTTCTCCTGGACCCCATCAGCCATAATACCTTGATTGACAGGGTTTGCAGTATGCCCTTCTGCCAGCCTAGTTGGGATAGGCTGCCAGAAGGGCACCCCATTGTGTTGAAATTTGAATTTGTCAGGTACCCTGGACCCATTCCTTACAGGGCTTTAAAAGTAATAAACCAACATCTTGAATTGAATCTGGAAGCAAACTCACAACCAGGGTAGCTTGTACAACAGAGGCATTACATGGACCACCCTAAGGGTCCAAGCACTGTCCATGCAGCTGCATTCTGTGCCAGTTGTAGCTTACAAATACTCTTCAAAGTGTTTCAGTGTGAGAGATGATTAGGGTCTGAGTGACTGTTTGCAGGGACTCATAATCTAGGAAAGGGTGCAACTGGTGCACAACATGAAGTTTCCAAAGGCCTAGGTCATCAATGTCAGTAAGCAAGGCTTCCCAATCAGGAACAGGTATGATTGGCACTAAGGGCTATGTGTGAAATCTCTGCTACTTGCAACAATGGAAAAATTGCTTGTCATGATATCAGGGAGGCCTAAGACCCACTGCTACTCAGCTTTGATGGAACTGAGTTGAAGTCAGTTCTTCTCCTGGAAAGGGAAAGAATTACATCTCTCAATAGCATAGAATAGAGCAAGTGATGTTAACTAATGAAACACAACTAATGAGAACAGAGTAAATACATAACGAAGAGGAGAGAAGATATAAAAAATAGTCACTAGCAATGCTCAATAGATCTTTACTCACCAATATATTTTGCCCAGAAACTTAGCTGAAATGAAATAAAATTTAAGTTAAAACTCTAAAACTCTATAAATAGCTACATTGTGTTGCATCAACATTTTTTTGCAGATTATTCTGTAGTCTGATGATAGTTATTCACAGTCATTTATCCATCACATCCACTACCATCCGTCCAGCACAATGAAAATATAACAAATGTTTGAAATATTTGGTGAAGCCATTATGTTAGTTTTGACATAAACTCTAATTGCCAACGCAATGGGAATTGCAAATAGTAAAAGTAGATTTAATTGGATGTGATGGTACACTCATGTAAATCATCCAATTTGCATCTACCAATAATCAACTAAGGCTAAGAGAAGCTGACACAAATAAGAAATTGTTTATTGACAAATGTTAAGAAGGATAACTTGGTAGTGTACATTCCAAATCCACCAAAGAGTACACTGAAAAAACATATGGATGACACAACTCGATCAGGGCAAAGCAATAGACGCAAACTACATAGACTTCTGTAAAGCCTTTGATTCAGTAGTACATGACAAACTACTCCTAAAAATAAAATCCTATGGTATCTCTGGACAACTGCATAACTGGATAGAAGCATTCCTGTCAAACACACAACAAATGGTCAAAATTGGGAGCGTCCTATCAAATTCTGTACCTGTCAATAGTGGTGTCCCCCAAGGCAGTGTTCTAGGACCAACTCTCTTCATACTCTACATAAATGACCTCTGTGATCATATTAAGAGCAACTGCATTCTTTTCACTGATGATGTAAAGCTGTTCAATACCACAGACAATACTGCTACCCTTCAAAAAGATCTTGACTATGTATCAGAATGGTCAAACAAATGGCAACTTCAAATCTCAACAAATAAATGCTCTGTCTTACATATTGGGAAAAAAAATCCAAAAATAAAATACAAGCTGAATAGTCAAGATCTTGTTGATGATCCAAGCTCTGTAAAGGACCTTGGAATACTCACCTCTAATGATCTAAGTGCTAGAGCCCACTGCAACTACATAGCCAAAAAGGCATTAAGAGTTGTTAACCTAATCTTACGTAGCTTTTTCTCTGGTAATATCACACTACTAACTAGAGCATACAAAACATTTGCTAGACCAATACTCGAATACAGCTCATCAGTCTGGAACCCATATTACGTATCTGATATTAGCACAATTGAGAAAGTCCAGAAATATTTCACAAGAAGAGTTCTCCACTCCTCTACTCGTTGTAGAATACCTTATGCCACCAGACTTGAAATTCTAGAACTAGAAAACTTTGAATTACGCCGTCTTCGGTCTGATTTAAGTATGGTATATAAAATCATACATTGCAATGTCCTACCTGGCAATGAATACTTCAGCTTCAACCATAACAACACAAGAGCACACAATAGATACAAACTCAAGGTTAACCGCACCAAACTTGATTGCAGGAAATACGACTTCAGCAACAGAGTGGTCAATGTCTGGAATACTCTACCCGACTCTGTAGTTTCTTCCCCAAACCCCAAAAACTTTAACCTTAGACTGACTACTATTGACCTCACTGTTTTCCTAAGAGGTCTCTAGGGGGCGTGCATAAGCGCACCAACGTGCCTACCATCCCTGTCCTATTGTTTCTTTTATTTTTATTTTATTTTTCTTATATGTACCCATTTCATGTACTCATAACTATGTGTACACTTATACTTATTATCTTGTAAACAATTGACAAATCAAATAAATAAATAATAAATAAAGAGTAGTCCCACCAGCTGCTTGGGACAGAGAATATCTTGGGTCAGATTACTAAATTAGGATTTTTTTCTGTTCCTTAGTATATTCTGCTCTTTCAACTGATAATGAAGCTTCACTATTTCTCAATCTTTCAAAATAACTTACAGTTTGTTCCATGGTTTCAAATATTTCACAAGCTTCTTCAAAATCACACTGTTCTTCTACACATTCTCTTTCCAAGGAACCTGCCTTTAATTCTTCTAAGAAAGAATTTGCCCGCTTTTGAATCTTCAGGACCTGATTGGCTTCTTGGCTGCTATAAAACACTTGGGAATGGAAAATATGGAGTATTTATGGTATTTTTATCTTACTAGTTTCAGAAACATATTTATGTTATGTTAATTTACCAGATATGATATAAAATGATAAAAACACACTTTGGAGTAAAACAATGAGCACAGGAGATTATAATTATTGCTTCTAGTGCTATTCTGTAAAATCCAAACTATGTTAATGAAATGTAAACTCTTATGCTGTTCATATTTTTTCAAAATGAGGTAGATTGTGTAATTCTGCATGGTTTTGTTTTCACATCAAGATGATGGTAAAATATGCCCCATATCTCCAGTGTGTAACTAGAAATTATTGGGAGAGGGATTGTATTATACAGGCTCCAAGTGACATTGGGCTCTTTCAATTATGCTTAGAGACCGTAGAGTGGCTGGCAGAATATACTGTTTGACCTGATGTTCAAAGGGATGACATACCTGAGGCTTCATATCCATTAAGCAATATGAAGGCAGCTGAAAACACCAGAAGAGAAATGATTCTACCCATTGCACAACCGAATCCACAACTATGAGAACAACCACCAAAAAAAATAAGTAAATGGTGATTCGTTTTAGAGAAATGCATACTTTTATATATTTTCAAGATCATATATTTAAGAAAGCACAGGATGATATCTGATTCTTAAAATAGGGCCTCCGAAGTCTCCTGCATAGTTTAAATATTGCTCTTAGGTTTTACACCATATACTGGCCTTGGAAGTAATATCTTCCAATTTACCACTTCTGTCTCTTTATCTAGTTAACTAGTTGGCAACTTTCTGTTTATTTGACAGTAAATTTAGTTTAAGATGTTTTTTAAATTCCTTTTCAAAACCCAGTCACTGCAGTTTAAGCGAACTCAAACCCAATCCAAAACCAAAACCAAGTTTACACAACAGAACTAAACTAAATATATTGTTCTCTTTTAAGCTTTCCCTGATAATATTCTACATTTCTTGTCCCTCTTTGCATTTGATTTAGGTAAAAATATTGTTTAGGATTTTAACTGAAATATATGAACAATAGAAAAGACTTACTGACCTCCCTGGCTGAATCATAGAAGTCCACCATTGAATTCAGAGGACACTAGTTAATCCATAACCTCAAATATTTACTCAGCAGATAGACTCTGACAGCCTTTCTTTCAGTTAAACAAAGAAGGCTCCTATGGGATTCTACATGTAGAAAAGAAAATAAATTGCTTTTTAACATGTGCTTTTCTTTCTCATTTTCTTCTCTATTTATTGTCTAGGTAAGTAATGGCTAATTAAATAAATGTGTTTTATATTTTAAATAAATTCAGCTCTAGTTCAGGTTTATTGCTTTAACAAAAATGTTTAGCCTCATTATTGGATATTTCAAAAGTGAATCAAAGTCCCTCGTGAAATTTTCCACGTGATAGTATATGAGATATCATGATATTTCATGTGTTGCCCTCACTTGTGTCATTGCTTTTTTAAGCCCTGCCCCCCTTAACAGATATACTAAGAAAAGGAACAGGACAGTGTACCTTCTAATTTTATACTTGGGACCCTTTAAAATCCTTAAGACCGCTTACCAACCATTTCAACTTAAGGTGACCGCAAGAGAGCACCAGAGAGCTATAGTTGTTTGCTCCTTACAATGATTACTTGAGTTTATACTGACATTCTGCCAGGAAGCAATCATCTTGATCTTAAACACCAGTTTTTTTTTCCTCCAAAAGGACAGCTCCTAGATTTTTGCAAGAGGTTAAATTAAAAGATGTTATATCTTGCCTCCACTTACTTTTTACTTTAATTAGCATTAGCACTTTTCTTATTTTTGTGACTTTTAAGGCTTCTTGATTCAGGCTAATTTCTTGTCCTTTACGGCTTAGTCCAGCTTGCCTGCTGTGCTAGAATGAAATATCTGTTCCATGTCTTCAAGGTGCTACTTAATGTGATTAAAAAGATACATTTATCATCTATGTCATGTCAAATCATTGACCAATTTTGGAAAGTTGCAAAAATCCCACAGACCAAACCAGAGCATTCAAACCCATGCTATGTAATGACAGCCAACTCTTTATTATCACTTTCAACAACAGCTGCAAGTAGCCTGGTCACATTCTGTATGAAAATATACCAACCTACCTTATTTATTCCAGCAAGTTATCAATGCAAGACATCTTCCTAGGCTAGAGATCAAGACTTGAGACTATGAGATGGCCATATCATGCCTGCAGCTCTTCAGTTTGTTTTTTTGGTGACTTTATGTTGCCATGGGGTTATTGAATAATGAGCAGTATCCAAGAAAAAAAATGATAAAAAGGATACAGAAAATACTGCTCAAAATTAACAAATGCAAGTACACATAGTCATTAAAGAAATGGTAAAATGGTGTGTTTACCTGAATATGATTTCTTTAATATGGAGACTGTTTTATGGGGCTGGCTAGGGAATACTGGAAATTGAAATCTACGTTAAAGTTGCTGAAGTTGAGAAACACTGATCCAGAAAGCAAGAGTTTGTGAAAGGCTTCATTACTGTTTTATCCTCATTCCCCATAACAATTAACTGCTTTCAAATACTTTGCTACATCTGTCTGTCCTATATTTCTCCATTATCAAAATTCAAATTTATTGTTAAAGGCTTTCTTAAGTGGTTCCATAGTATTCTATCCCTCCCTGGAATTAACCTACAATGAGAAATTCAGAAAACTCTAGCCTTATTTTGAATGACAGCCCACCCAGCCAATCAGATTTGGTGCTTAGTGTTGTGATGTCTATTACCATGATTACCAATATTACCATTTTATTTATTTTAAATAAAAATTCTACTTTGGGGTCATGTAGAGGTAGAAACAATGGATCTGCTGTTCTGAAAAGCAAATGGCAGCCAGCAGGATGAGAAAATTATGAGACTTGGAAAATAATTATAATAATTACAAATTAAAGTTGCAGGTGTCTTTGTTGTCTCTGTTTAATACAGTGGCAAGGGATGTACCATTGGAAGACCTCAAGGGCCAGATTAGTTACAAACCATCATGTAGAAAATCCATTAAAGGCGTGACTACTTATTATGTTCCACCAAGTCAGCAAGTCAAAACAGTAACAAAATATTTCTGTGAATACAACTTATTGTAAATGCTGAGGCAAAAAGGTATTTGATAGTGGTGATTCTGCTTTAATAGCTCATTTGACTAGATTTTGTTCTAAAGATTCTTAAAATTATTTGAATTATTTTATGACAAGATGTCAGAGTGCGCACAGTATGGCTATGTGAGACAACCCAGGAGCAAATACAGTACAAAGGTTTGTAATAAAGTGGCTTATCTCCAAAGGCTATACATACACTCCTAGGCAAAGGTCAAATAATCAATCAGCAGCTACAGCAGGGAGGCACACATGGAGAGAGACACCCTCACCCTCACAGGGTGAGGGTGTCTTATACTACAGCCTCTTAAAGTGGTATTGGTCAAATATCCCTGCTGACTCAACTATTAAATCATCATTACCCTGACACAAGAGGCCAGGGAGACTATGTTAGCCTACTTTTATTCAGCATAAGCTAGATGTAAATGAAGATGCAAACAACAGATTTTGCCAAAAATTACTCTAGCAATTGGCTAGGACAGGAATCCGTACAGTACACTACATGTAAACAATGCTCTAAATTCCCTAAATACATATATTACATACAGGAATTCCTATCTGCCAGTATGATATAGCCTTCCAATGAAATTGAAAGAGTAAAGACTGCAACTTCATAAACTTTTCATGCGTATGAAATGAACATAATCATCATTTCCCCCCTTTATTTTAAACAAGAAATAAGGAGAATATTCTGGAATCAGTTAAACAACTCCTAATAATCATAATAAGCTCAGTACTTTGGCTTATTTCCTCTTTCCAGATATATTATGAAACCAAGAATGTAATTACTAGTTAAAAAGATGCAGTGATGGGTGTCTTGTAACATTCAGACAACCAAGTTTGATTATGTGACTACTTTCTCACCATGAGCTATGAAATGGCATCACTGTTTGCAATAGGAGCTTATTCATTAACTTATTTCCCACAATAGATCATATGAGACACAGTGGCGAAGTGGTTAGAGTGCAGTAGTGCAGGCTACTACTTCTGCTGGCTGCCTGAAATTTGGCAGTTCGAATTTCTTCAGGCTCAAAGTTGACTCAGCCTTCCATCCTTCGGATCCAGACTGATGAGGACAATAGGCTGACTCTGTAAACTGCTTAGAGAGGGCTGTAAAAGCACTATGAAGTGGTATATAAGTCTAAGTGCTATTGCTATATGGCTTGGTTTTGGCTGAAATTGCATGAATCCAACATGCTAAAAGCCAGTTTATTAAGTTATGGCTTAGCATACTAATAGCACCCATAAACTTTTCATTAGTTTTAGATTTTATACCATGCTACCAAAATGAATAAATTGTATTATGTATAATTCAGTTCTAACATAACTAAAACAATTATAAAAAATCCTCAGTACCCAGAGTAGATGAATGTGAATCTCCATGAAGTTAAGTATTTGTAGAGGTACTCCTCACAAGTCTTGATGTTATAAATAATGTATATTATTTGTTTTTAACCACAAAAGAGAAAAACATATTTTATTTATCAGACACTTGGGAGTTGGAGACTTAGAAAAATAATCTGTGATATTCTCATATGTATTATAAGGTTTAAAGTTAGGAATGGAGTATTGTAAGTCCAGCTTTTTTTTCCTTTCAGATTTTAGAGTGGAGATCATTCAGTAAGGCACCTTTGTGTTTCTAAGCAAATTATGGTTGCTAGGATGGCTGGATGCTGTAATCCAAAATCCAAGATGTGATATTAAAGTGCCTGTTCAGGATTTTTTGAAATATTTTTTTTCCTTCTTCTAATTTAAGATGTCTAAAAGAGAAAAGTAAACGACAATATTCTCCATAGGGAAAAAAGTACTGAAAATTGCCTAGGAAAATATATGAAAATCTGCAACTGCAATTGTCAGACGTAGAAAATCATGTCAGTCATCTGAATTAAAATCTCCATTCTTATAGCGAAATTCACCATAATCTGGCTATGAACAACAATGAGCAAGAAGACTGGCTATATGATTTTTTTTTCTCCTAATAAACCACCCGTTGAATGTGGTTAGTTATGGATCTTTATTTTTCTTCTTAAAACCAAGCTTACACTTTTTTGTTTGTTTTACTTTGTTTGTTGTTGTATTTTTAAAATACTTTGTGTTCATCTCAATAATAAAGCAAATTATAAAATTACATTTACCAACTTTAAGCTAATCTACTTTGTGTAGATTTTAAGGATAAATATTCCTTGAATTTCTTAGATGAAAAATTGATACACATGTAATGAAATGCTTCAAAATTCTTTGTTTACAGAGAATCATAATGCATATCATAAATACAAAGTATTAAGGACTACAACTATGGTTTCACAGGCCGTTTCTCTCTATCTCTTTCTAGGTTCTGCCTCTGCCCATACATTGGTGGGCATTACAGATGCCATTCAATATAGTTATACTACCAAGATCTTTCTATAATTTTAAGGTCAGTTTTACTTAATACATTTGCATTTCTCTCACTACTAACAAGGCATATTAAATACTGTTTGTTTAATTACCATAGCAACAAATCAATTATTTACAGCAGGATCAGAAAGAGATTATCTTTATATACAAGAACATTATATTTACAACAATCAACTGCAAAATATGTACAAACAAGAGATGCTTTCATGGTAATGATAGTATAAATTAAATAATAAATAGCATGTTATATTCTTAAGGCACAATACCTTCTTCCCCAGACTGTACAGGACTTAAATGTTTCCCTATGCTTTTGTCTGATCACTGCAATAGTTATATTTCCCCTGTAGAACAGTTATCACAGTTAACAACACACACGACTTATAAAAACAACTTTCTTCTTTTTTTTACATCACAAATATCTGTTAAGATACGAGTTTTGTGTAAACAGTCTTTAATTTACCATTCATACTATTTTCACTTTTAAATAATACTCAAATAATTTCAAAATAATACAGGTGTTAGAGGTTTTCAAGGGACAACCAGCAACATGTGCCTTTTTAGTTCCTATTGGAGAAGTAAAATCAGTGGGATTTTATTTTGTGAGAAACCATTACCAAAAATGTGAATAATTTCACTCAACTTAAACTTAATGGACAATTTTGCAGGAATCCTATGCATATACCGAGAATTTATTTCTTAAATAACCAAGCATGGAAGTGTACTGCACATTGCTGTAGTTGACAAATAATTGTAATTAATTTAAAAGTGGTCTTTCAGGAGCAAAAAATATAACCAGATTAAAGCAAACACAAATAGATTTTATCCAGTTAACTGTCCCTGCTAATGGAATCCCTTTGATAAATATAAATAGGGATAGGGACAATTCTTTCATCTGCGGTCTGTGCTATGTCCTTAAAACCTCACTGTTAAACAATATGGTTTCCTGGAACAACTTTTGGTAAGTACAGGAGTTTCATTGCAAACTATATTCTGCAGAAAGGGCCATTTATTTAGATCTTTATTTAAAAACTAAAAAAAAAACCTGGGTCACTAAGAAAAATGTTCTTATTCTTGGAGAGCAGAAACCTGTATATCATTATCAAGACTACAATTTTTATATCAAAAGCCATTTCAAAGAGAACAGTTTATTTAGAACAGATTGGGTGTTGCAGAGGTAATGATTTATTATACCTGTCCTACTCTTTTTTCTGTTTTGTTTTATAGTGGTTTTTTTAATTGTTCAATAAAATCAATAAAATGTGTTCATTGTGGTAAGTCCAGGGGATTTTATTTACAATTGAAATGTTAATGTTTTTCAAATTTCACAGTATGTTATTAAAATACAATCGGTTACTTCCGACATTGGCACTTTCTAGGGTAAATACTTTTTGTAATATTCCACCAAGTTCTCTGAAATTTAATGGACCAATTCAAATGTTAAGGTTCATGTTTTAATGACGTGCCAAGAAATATTATCTTGAGCAATCCAACAGTGTATTTTTGCCCTCAAAACAGAATACCTCATGATTTTTTATAAAATAAAAAATACAATAAAATAGAAACTTTAAATTGCCAAATTGAAAGCTCCGGTATATCATGGCACTTTTTAATACTTCCTTCCTTAGGAAAAAACCCAGCTTGAAATAAGCAACACTAGATACTCCAAATATCATATAAGGCAGATAGATAACACATAGTGTCAGTCTGATATAGCTATACTGTTCATGAAATTTGGGATTCAGGACTTCCATTATGTAGAAAGGGATTTAACTAAACAAGTCAACAAAAAAGAGGCCAAGATAGAAAATTATCCATACTAATTAATATTTTGGGATGTGATGTTTTAATAAAAGTTTAAAAGCTAAATTATTATGAGAGCTCAAATTATGACAAAACTCTGCAAATGCAGACATTGAAAGAATGATGACTCTCAATTTAAGCACAGATTCAAAAGTGGGGAAATGCCAGATTATGTCAAAAGAGAAAGTTAGGCTGTTCAGAATAAGAACAATTTAGTCAAGCATTCCTGATTTCATATGATTTTTAAGAGAAATATATAGCAACCATGATAATTCTTCTACTGTTAAAGTTAGAAATTCATCCCTTTTTACTGCATTTTTTCCTAAAATTATATAATGATTTTACTCCCTGAGGTGTTCAATGGGAAATGGAAGAAATTGCCATATTTATCAACAACTATAAAGTGCTGTTTTCTGTTTGACTGTGACATGTTTTCATTAGAATCATAGCAAGAATTTTAAAAAAATACTGGAGAATTAACTTTCTGGTGTATATGCATTGAACAACAGTACTGTTAAGAATCAGCATATTCTGCTATCTTTCTGGGTTCTTCCATATTTCTCCAGTAACTGATATTTTAAACAATATTAGTATCCATGAATATTACACAGCAGAACCAGAAAAGAACAAGGCAGATTTAGACAAGTAGTTATATGCATTTCTGGCACCAAAAAACCTGTCAGGAAAATGCATAACAAGAGTCGCTTCCTAATTTAAGACTTAATGCAAAGGCTATGTATTAATTGTATAATTGGTGACTTTTTAAAAAAGTTTCCTAAATAGTAGATTTAAAATGCCCTTTTTTCATTCTCAACATCTAACTTTATTATTGTGCATGCTTGAAAAACAGGTGTTGTCATTACTTTTAATGCCTGTCACAATTCTTAAATCATAAAGTCTTTAGCATTGACTTTGGTGACTTAACTCTCCCTAAAAAATTATAGATCCACAGGCAGATTTACCAATCTTAACTGACAGGAATAAGTGAGGATGCTTTGTATCAAGAGTATCCAAGTTTGAATAAAGGACACTGAGACTGAGGAAGCCAAGTAACACCTAATCTAGCAAAGTGTGACTTGTAGAGTAGCTTGCACTCTATGCCACATCAGAATAGTAGCACCATAAAAAGCTGGATGTGAGCTCTGAACACTGATACTATTTAGCTATTCCATAGGGACAACCTCCTGAGCATATGTGCCCTGTCAGCTTTCAATTGTGCAGAGATCAGAAGGAATGGTAGAAGCAGGCTCCAAAAACAGCATTTAAGCCTCGGTGACAGGAATATTCTTGCTCAGCTCCTTGATCCCATGTAATATTCTCTTCATATGACCAACTTTGGTTACTCCTAGATCCTGAAAAAAAATGACAAGGATAAACTTAGGTCATGAAAAACTAGCCATCTGTAGAATACGTATTAGTTGAATCTTCCCAAAAATGAGAAAAAAGCAGAAGCACCTCAGAAACCAGTGCTTGAGAAAACAAGACATATTACAGAATATACTTTAAGTAGACATTATTCAGAAGCACAAATTTATCAATCAGATAAACTGCCCAAGAACAAAACTAGGACTACAACAAGTTTATTAATTTAAACAAAAATCAAGCTACACACACACACACACACACAAATATTTCATAAAACGAGTCAAGATTTCAATGCAAATAAAAGCCACACTTTTTAAAATTATCCATGACCTCCCTAGATACTCCCTAGATGTTCATAAGAATCGTATCTTCCCAATGCTAAATAAATCTTACCATATTATGTTTACTTAGTGTCAAACCCTGCTCAGATAGTCAAAGTCAAAGTAGAATTATAAATACTCAGTAAAGTATTTTAATGCTAATCCAGGGATACATACTCTCGGAAATTGCAAGATAAATCTCCAATCATCATTTATAATTAAGGCAGAGTTTCTTTGAATGATTTGAACTCTTTCTTCCTAAATTTCTTGCCACCTGAGTTGAATTGCTATTCCTAAAATAATCTGCCAATGGATTTATTTTCTATTTCTTGATGGTTTATATCTCTTCCCCTTCTGTTATTTTCCCTTTCTCCCAACTATTCTCATCCTTGGATCTACTTCTGATTTCCTGCTAGATTTGTAACTTTGCTGCCATTGCTTGATGGCAATAAGAAACATAAATCTACAAGAGAATTTTATGATGGTATTCATTGTTCACAAAGCTGTGAATTCATTCAGAAATAGTTTGACGGTCATATTGGCAATTGTATTTACTGAATCCTATTATTAGTGGGGTTGAATTCTGCATAGGACCAAAATTCATTTGTCTTGCACTATCCTAAAACTATATTCTAGCTAGAATAGCATACATTTCCTCATACAATAATTAATATATACTTTATATATATATATACTTTATCAAGGAATTATACAGGAATAGTATATTTCAAGCAATGGCAGTTGACTCTAGGAGATACAGTAATGCTGAATTTCAGGTATACTCTGTGAGGTTTGGTGTGGATATTTAACCAAGAGCCTCTTCTTTTCTAACCTAAAAATAAATAAATTATTCTGTCTAAAGCCACCTAGAGTGGAGAGTATGCAGATCAGCTCCAAGCACAGTCAGCAGAGGCTGGCATGTAAATGCATATGGCTATTTTGATGAGTTTTTTTTTATGAAAGTACCTTGAGATCTCTCCGTTCCAGATGTAGGAGCTCAGAGCCCCGGACGTCATGCCGGATGAAGATATCTTTATACTCACAAAGACTGAGATGTTCAAGCCAGGCTGCAACCTCCTCTGTTCCCCAGAGGTGAACTGTCAGAGATGGAAAAGCAGGGACGTTGAGTACCCAGAAGCCCAGAGGAAAAGTAGTGAAAAAGATGATCAGCAGCAAAGACTGAAAAAGCATGAAAGTGAAAGGCAAAACAGTACTATTGTATCTTAAAAAGAATAGTTCATTGATTCCAAAGAAGGAAAAGCTAGAAAATTAAAGATACTGTCTTAAACAGAGGCTAGATCATTTCTGAGATCAAGGAAGTAAATTGCCAATTGCCACTTCCAAATCAGGGCCACGTGCTTTTTACTCAAAAACAAATACTAAGAAGTTTGGATGTTTGCAATACTAAGAAGTGTAAAATTTATTCTGGAAAAAAATTGATGCAAAATATAGGGGATTTGTTTATCCATGTTTACTTTTGTCATTAAAACAGACTAACATTGACACAATGTAAAATTCCATCTTTTAAAATGTATATCTTAAATTTTTAACCCAAACATATTTGGTTAATCCTGACACAATGAACTTCCTTTGCTGTATGAAAATTCTACTAGCCTATATTCTAGATCTTGTTATCCACATACTGTCTGGAGATGACTTTTTCTATATAGTACATTTTGGTAATCAGTTCTTAAAGAGTTTACTCTCTGAGATTCATCCTTAGATATCCTCTATCAGAGAAAATCCATACTCAAATAGATGTGTTATAATAACCATGCGTCTGAAATTGGGTTAAAGAAGAAATTACTAGATTCCTACATTTCATTTAGATTTGTTACTGATCAAGAAATAAAAGCCTGTGAAATCTTGGTAAAAGGCTTAGTTACAACTCATTTTGGATTTAGATCCTTATATCACAGTTTAATGAAGGCTTAAATCCAATCAGTAAATTTTCTTTAATATACAGTAATGCTCATGAATAGAGGAAACTTAAGAATTGATGGTCTTTCTACTTCCTTATATCAAGGAAACAGACATTGTAGACCAAGTCTTACTGCACGTATCTATACCAAGAAATCCCTTGCATCTGCCAAGCAAATCAACATAGCTATATGGGCATTATTTTTGTGGTCTAGGGAGAAAAAAATATCTGGACAGACAGTTATCCAGCCTTTCTACTAGCCTCTAAATAAGAGACAGGATAAGAGAATCTAAAAAGCTAAAGGCAAAAGAGAGAACATGAAATGATAGAAAACCAATGGGAGGATAAATGATATCATTAGCTCCATGGAAGACTGACATATATAAGCCAACAAATCAACGAATATAATTGGGACAAGATTGCCCTGATTCCATTTCAACTTTGATTTGAAAAGGTTTTTTTTAAATTGTCATACTAACAATGAAAATTAAAGCTGAGGATGATGCATTGATGAAGATGCAGAATCCCAAAACAATAAGACATGAGACTTGATTACAGCTTGGTAGAGAATCAATGAGAAAAATTAATAACCAAATCTAGAAACATTAGCAGGGGAGATTTGGAGTTTTGCAGGCTTGGGTTCAACAATCACTTCAGCTTTTAAAATTTCAAATTTCCAATAAACTTCTTTGACCATCCAAAAATGTCCAGCATTTCAAAGTCCTAAGTGCTATTTGCAGTGTGTACTTCGTTTCTGTACTTTAGAATATTCAGTCTAGTAGTATGATAAAACTACAAATATATTAATCTGCTCCAGGAAAGCAAAATGCCTATTTAATATAAAGGAAAAGAAGACCCACAGCAGAAAAATATGGAATATTTAGGGAATCAGAAGAAGCACTGTTTCTTGTGGAAATGACATCCAAATGCATGGGCACATTTGGATATACAGGGATGTGAAGAAAGGCAAAGAGGAAATGCAAAACCAGATGGTACCCGGCAATCCCAAGCTACTGCTTGTCTCCTTATTCTTGTTGTTTTTATCCTTTTTAAATTTCACCAGACGAAATTTGCCACTTCGGCTGCGTTTAGAATAATCCAGCATTTGGTTCTATAGAAAAGAGAAACCAAAATATTTTTGAAGATTTTCCTTTTATATAGGATTCCCCCCCCCCGCCACGTTCATTCATTTCATCAGACTCTTCTAGTAAGATGCAACACTATAATTATTTATTACATTGATGGGATGTTTGACCTAGGAAAGTAAATCTAACTATCTACCTGCCTTTCTCTTTCTCATTCATTCATTCATTTAAAAAAATTATTGGCCGCTCATCTGATCATAAGGTAACTCTGGGCAGCTTACAGTCATAAAATTATATCTACATTAAAACATAAATAAATTAAAACTAAACGTTAAGGACACATGGGGAGTGTGGAGGTAGAATGTGGGAGGGAGGTGGAATCTGTTATTTCTCAACCATTTCCATTGTGCTGTTCCCCCACTGGGGTCCTAAAAACAGTCCAAGAACACCACCTTCCAACAGGCATGACCCTAGATACCCTGTCTGACAAGTTACCTCTTCATCACTGGGCTCCATGAGCTGCCACAGCCATGGAATATCTGCTAGTTTCCTTATGTGAAAGTCCATATCTGTCAATGCAGCTTGGAGTTGTTCTTTCTGGGGAGGATCCAACTGCTACATCAGAAATGAAAATGTGAAGACACAGTTAAGAGCTATAATCTGAACAAAGACTTGTCTAACCTGTAACAGAATTATCATAAAGTACATTAATGTACTTTTTTCTGTTTTATTGCTTAAATATTCTACTCCAATGTTCAGACAATATGGCATAGAAGCAATATGTCAAAAAAACACTCCAAAGGTATAAGAAAAGAAAAGCTGGTCTTTGCCCATTGTGACAAGTTAGACCTTACATTATTTATTTAACTTTGATTTTAGTAGAGGTTTCTGCCAATGCAGAATTTATAATGAATTTTGTGAAAATTAATATTAAACTGAGTTTCCTTTTCTGAATTCACTTAACATTAAATAGGTATTCTGAGAAAAATTAAGTAACATTTTGTTTAAAAATTAAAACATCTAAAAATGTGAAGAAGTGTAAATAGCTCCCTGTGCAAGCATCAATTAAAGAGCTCAATACTATGCTGTAGCCTTATTCAATCACCTTTTAAAAGTCTCTGCCTAATTATAAGCAGATCCTATGTTTACAAAGTGGTAGGTGATCTTATGCTAGAAATACTGTCTGTAGTTCTGTCACATTGCTTCCTTCCAGTCTGTTGGCAGTGTTTGTGTTCGACTTTCAATTGTGAACAATTCCTAGAATTATGTCGCAAGTGCAAACATTTCAATGAAAGAGGCCAAAATGGACTTTATAATGTCAAGTGATCTTTTGTGAAATACACAATTTACAACAAGGAAACAAGGAGAAGAGCAAGGGAACGGATTCAAGGACAGATCAGACCGGTATTCATTCACACACCTTTTAACCATTAACTTTATGAAGAATGAACAGCCAACATCAGAATAATGAACCTAGTATTTACAGAGAGGAGGGTGATAAGTATTGTCCAGTGTTAAAAGGCCAGTCATGTACTTCAATAATGAAGCAAAATATTCTTAGTGAGGACAAGTAAGATAAGTAACACAACCAAACAGAAATATTTCATGCTATTTATTTCTTACCAGGGCCATTTTTCCAGCCAGAAGAAGTTCTGTTTCATTGTGCAAGGCTTTCACATTATTTACCATTTCTACTACAAGGTTGCAATTCAGGCCCTGTAGGAAGATTGTATGTATAAGGACTGGAACCTACAAATCCAACAGGGCAATATAAGACAGTCAAAATGCACTGGAAATTACAAAGTAGTACCTCTGTAGATTTGGATTTTGCATATACTTTGTCCATAGATTTGGAGCTAGCATTGACAGCATGAGCAAGTTCTTGTTCCAAATCCTGGAATGCCTGGGCTATTTCTCGAATGCTGTAGGAAAAAGTAAGAGATCAGATTAAATGCAGAAGAACAAACTTTCTAGGATGTCTCATTCTGGTGCTACCTTCTCTACTGGTGGCAGGAAAGGGCCTTACCTGTGAATCAGAGTTCCAGCTGCTCTGCAAAACTGATTAATATGAGTTGATTCTTCTTCAGATATAATCTCAGGATGCAGTGTGAAAGAGGCAGGTCTGGGCAGCTCACACTTTTGTTTGTCTTCCCAAGACTTTAGGGTATTCTCAAATGCCTGGGGGGGAAGGGAAAGGGACACGAGATTATTTACTTTTCAGAAGAAAACATTTTTGTTTGTCCATATTTGTTTATATTTCCTTATAAAAATTATAGAATAAAAATTACATCCAAATCTTTGGCCATGTTTGGGGATTGAGATGAGATTGAGTTTTATTTTGCTGAAAAAATATAACAGAGTGATAGGACATCGGAATGAGTTATAAATTATTATTATATGAGCTTCTGTTGAAAAAAAATTACTTCATCAAAAATTACACTTCATCAAATGCATGAATTACAGTCCCTAAATTATAGAAATATATTAGAAAATGAAAAAAGTGAAGTCAGGTGTATATGTGTGTGTGTATATATATATATATATATATATTGTATGTATAAGGACTGGAATATATGTATGGTATTCGGCTTTGTTCGGGTATTTTCCCACGTCATTATATTTGTGCTTTTAAAGTTGTAGCAATGTTTCGGCAGAATCTCATCTGCCATCATCAGGCTTCTGTATAGTGTTCGTCTGCCAGACTTTCACAGCCGTTCCTGTTTTAAATTTGGTGCTAGCCTACTGCTGTGCCAGAATGGTTTTTTCTTCATCCTGATTGGTTGGGAGTCTTGGTCTGTTTATTGGTCTTAGAGTTTGCTGTGTTCTGCTTGATTGGTATTTCTAGTATCTTCTGTCTGTTTTGCAGCTTTTTTGTCTTGATTGGCTGGCAACATTGTGTTTCCTGTCTTGGAGGCTTTTAGTGTGGCTTGGCTCCGAGTAAACGGACAGCTATCATTTATTAGGAAGCTAGATTTCATCTGGGTGTCTGGTTGGAGTGTTTGAGCTGGAGGTATCGGGGGAGTCTGTTTGTACCCAGGTATTTGCCTGGCTTGTGGTGTGGAGATATTTTTGTTTGAGAGTGCAGGCTTCCAGATAATTGACAGTCTGGTGGAGTCATCTATTCATGCTTTCAGGTCTTTTTTCAATCTCTATGGCTTCTCTGATAATTTTGTAGCTGGGGTTTTCTATAGTGGCTAGGGTTTTGGTGCCATTGAAGTCGATGCTATGACCTGTGGCTTTCAGGTGTTGGATGAGCGAGGAAGTGTGTTCCAGCTTTTTTACTGCATTTTTGTGTTCATCTAGATGGGTACTTATTCTTCTATGGGTCTGTCCAATGTATGTGGCAAGGCATGATGCACAGGGGACTTCATATATGCCTTGGTTTTCCAGGTCAATTTTATCTTTGGGGTTTCTTAGGATGGCTGAAAGCATGAATAGAAGAGATGACTCCACCAGACTGTCAATTATCTGGAAGCCTGCACTCTCAAACAAAAAACACGGGAGGCTAATGGAAAAAAGATCACTACAAAACAAATGACCCACAGGAGATTACAGCACAAGATCCAGGATATCTCCACACCAAAACTCACAAGGCCATCACACAGCCCATTATACCAACATCAACTCCATCAACCAATCAAGAGGCAGCAGCGCAGGCAACCAGCCCAGTACACCAGCCCCCTGCACCAGTATTTATAGAGAGACGGCAGCTCCGATCACACATCGCTTGCACTGGCACGAAGCCGAAAGCACCAGCCTGAGGATGGCGAGTGGGACCTCGCCGAAATATCGCCAAGATACTCTTAATCTTACACAGGAAAAGACCCGAACCTAGACCTACATACCTGTACCCGTGAAAATCTACGAAAACAAACAAATATATGTGTGTGTGTGTGTGTGTGTGTGTGTGTGTGTGTGTGTGTGATATAAATTTCTTGGCACTGGATAAGGAAATTCACAAAGTGAAGTGGGATATCTAACACATATTCTTGTTAGGTGGATTCTCTTACTCTATCTCTGGTTAATGTTTGTGCCCTGTTTTTATGAACAATCCAAATATATCCCGGGGGCTGAATCCAAGCCTCTCCATCAACTTGCACAGGGACTCCCTCATCTCCCAGGATTGCAATCTTCACAGTTCGGCACTAAAAAAAAAATCTAGTGTTAATTACATCCTAAAATTGTAAAAGCAACTTACAAAACAATGTTTGCTATATGCTACCTCAAGATATATTTTATATGTCAGTAAGATTTCCCCCAAAATGGTATTACTGCTCACAGTAACTGTAGGAATTTCTAACATCTAGCTACAATAGAGCATTATTTAGAAACCAACCTATGTTGAACTTTGTTCATTACTATCTTTACTAATCCTTGAACCTTTAAATTCTGGCAGGTTTAACTTTTATATAATACTCAATTTTCTATAGTCCTCTCAAAGGAAATAATCTTATGGATAAAAATAAGCCTAGTAAACACCTGGGCTATCCGATGATGCTGAAGATTAATTACACGAGAGACAGCCATCTGCATACTTCCAAATACTGCAACCACTTCTAGGATCTTATCATCAAAAGATGGAGCTGTAAAAGTCTACAGTAACAAAGAGAATTAAGCAAATTAGAGCTGTTTTAACTATAATAGATTTCTTTTGCTCCCAATCATGACAAACAAGCAAGCAATATACAGACATATTATCCTTTAAAAAGCATGTGTATTGTAATTCTACAGAAAATGGAACAAAATAATATATTTTTCGTTCTTAAAGTAAAATAAAAAATGACAAATGCAAAAGAAGCAGATTTTATTTCTCATGTCACCACTGTGACTTCATCTTATTGCTTGTCAAAACAAATATAGAAAGGAGAATATTATTGAGTTCATGAAATTATGAAAAGATGGAAACTTGAGTGGAAAAGTGCTTTTTTTCAGTATTTTTTTCAAAATATGTCAAAAAATGATGAAAAGGTGAAAAATACTTACATCATCTTCTTTAGTTCCTCCCCAGAAGTTTGTGCCTCCTGCATAGCTGGGGATGTTGAGGACAGCAATTCCTTGAAGACTGGGCAAAGGGATAGGACGCCCATCACACTATATGATACAAAGCCAATTTTATGTGAAGTTTTAACAACAGTTTCATAGTCTTGATTAGTAAACCACCTTTAAAATGCTAGATAATGTAGGCAACTGCTCAGAATTAATTTGGGAAATTAATTTAATTCATTTCTACATCACTACAAAGCCCTCTTCTACTGATGAAAGGAAAATATTTATAATTAAAAATTTTAAAGAAATATCTTAATATTTCTCACCAATGAGCTGGTTCCTGTGTAGACATTAGCATTTGCTTAAAGAAGAACCTGAAATTTACTTTTCCTCATCTTTCTATCAAAATAAAATAATGAAGGGGAATTTATTGCAATCTTTCTTAAAAATACTAAAGTCATTTCTAAATAACTTCTATTATACATGAAAATGAATTAAAGATCCAGTACATTTTTAATAATGTGAATGGGTCCATCAATTTTAACAGGGTGGTTTCATTTAACATAATTTTGCATTAAAATATAAATAATTTGTAACCCTCAGCAAATTCAGCATTCGGTATTTGTATCAGTAAGTATCAGTGAAATAGAGCAAAAAGTTAGATGGTGCCGAACATTCAAAGAGCACTTCACAAAGTGTCAAAATGCGTTTCCTCAAAGCACTAAAACAGCTGAGCCCTCCAGTAGTTTCAGGCTGGCTGTTTTGGGGTCTTTCTCAGATTGTTTCAACTTATCTGCTCATGCACAGTTAGTCTGTTTAATCAGCGGTCCCAGTGGAAGAGTTGTGCATGTAGTCTGGGAAGCCCTCTAAAACGGCTATGCTGAGCTTTGTTGAGAAATGGCTGTTTCAAGAAAGGCATTCCATTCACAGAGGCATGTTGTCAGTGTTTTGAAAATCCTAGTAGTTTACAGAAAGCTATTTGCAATTTTTGGCCATTCAAGTATGTTTAAAAGATGTCTTAT